TGTCAAGTCTGTAATAAGGCTGGACACTCTGCTGTTCAGTGTTACCATCGTTTTAATGTAGCTTACAGTGGTAGTTCACAACAGTAGCACTCTGTTCATGTGCCTCAACAGCAGCACTCTGGTTTTTCTCATCCAGGCTACCAAAATGTGGTATCTCAGCATTATCAGAGCTCAACTTATCCTCAGCTTGCTCAGCATTCTCAGCATGCTCAAAACAATGTTTTCTCTACTGCTAATCAACTGCATAATGACCACTCATCACCAGTCCTAAACAGTGGTTCAACACATTTCATTCCTTCTTCCACCATTAGACAGCCAAGCAATACATTTGCTCAAAGCAATACATTTGCTCCTACTTTAGGTGTTGGCTGTTTTGGAGTACCTAGTCAGCATAACTCTGGCTATAGTCAAGCCCATTTTGTTTCTACTAGACCAGGGGCTGGATTTCATATTGATATTGGTGGAAATTGTGGACAACCTGGGAATCATTACTGTCCACCTTTTCATGTGTTTGATAGTGCTATAGCCTTCTCTTCCACTGATCCAGCATGGTATATGGACTCTGGAGCTATTGATCATGTAACTTCTGATCTTGGACAGCTACAAATCAGCAAGGCTTATGCAGGTGATGCTCAACTTCAAGTAGGCAGTGGTGAGCACCTTTCTATCTCTCATACATGCCATTCTATCTTACCTACACTGCATTCTAAATGTTTACATCTTAGGAATATCCTTTGTGTGCCAAACATTACAAAAAATTTACTTAGCATCTCTAGGTTTACCAAAGACAATAATGTTATTGTTGAGTTTGATGCAAATTGTTATGTTGTTAAGGACAAATCCACAAAGGCAATGTTACTGTAAGGGGGCCTTAAGGGAGGTCTGTACTAGCTAAATATTCCACCTGCCTTGTTTCCTTCTGCTGTTTCAACCTCCAAAGCTTCACACGTGTCACCTACCCATAGTTCATCATCTAATAAAGCAGCTCCTTCTGTCCAATTCTCAGGAGATGCATTGTTTAGTCAGTCCCATAGGCCTAGTATTTAAAATAGGTTAGCTGTATCTGCTGCTGATACTCTCAGGTGTACTCAGTCTCAAATGCAAACTACTAATAACTGTTCATCCACATCATGTAAAGAAATTTGCAATGTTTTTAGTAATAACAAAATTGATCATTTTTGTGATTCACAACCTGGTTTAGTTTCTGATTTTAAATTTGCTGTTCATATGTCTGCTTCTAACATGCATAATTCTGATCAACTTCAATCTGCTTGTGTAACTACTTTGAATAAGCCAAAAACACAATCTGTTAGTGATGCACTTTTATTTTCTAAGTTTGAACTGTCTCATGAGCCTAAAACACAATTTGTTAGTGATGCACTTTTATATTCTAGGTCTGATCTGTCTCATGATATTCAGAATAACCTAAGTGTGCCCGAAATTGTGCAATTCCCTACGCAAAATGCATCCAATGTTTCACATATTAATCTGCATGAGATGAATCATGTTAAGTCTGAACTTCAATCCAGTCTTCACTGCCTTGCTGTTAATAAACAACCTTCTACTCATATGGTTTGGCATAGAAGATTAGGACATCCGAACTCTACTGTTTTTCAAAAAATCATGACCAGTTTTTCAGGTTCTCACTCACCAGTTTCCTAGTTACAAAAATCTGAAACTTTCTTTTGTGATGCATGTCAATTAGGCAACATCAGAACACCTTTCCTGCCTCCCAGTCACATGCTCTTGAACTACTTGTTTTAATTCATAATGATGTTTGGGGTCCTGCCCTTGCAGTGTCTGTTGAAGGTTTCCGGTATTATGTTCAGTTTTTAGATGATTTCAGTAGGTTTGCATGGGTTTTTCCTTTAAAAACAAAAGCTGAAGTTAAATCTGTATTTATTAAATTTCATCACCTCGCGGAAAGGCAATTTAACACTAAACTAAAGTGTCTTCAATCTGATCAAGGAGGAGAGAATAAAACTCTTATTCCTTATCTAAATGACTTAAGCATTCAATTTAGACATTCATGTGCTTACACTCACCAACAAAATAGCCATAGTGAACACAAACATAGACATATTGTAGAAACCGGTTTAACATTGCTTGCACATGCATATATGCCCCTGCATTATTGGTGGTTAGCATTCGAGACTGCTACATTCTTAATTAATAGAATGCCTACTGATGTCTTACACGGTGATACTCCTTATTTCAAATTGTTTCCCAAATAGCCTGTTTATGAGAGTCTTAAAGTATTTGGATGTACTTGTGTTCCTTACCTTCGTCCCTTTAACAGTCATAAGTTTAGTTTTCATTCCTCCAAGTGTGTCTTTATAGGATATAGTTTAGTTCATAAAGGGTACAAGTGTTTAAGAGAAGATGGGAAAATTTTTGTTACACCTAGTGTCACCTTTAATGAAATAGAATTTCCATTCCAAAATAAACAGTTTATTGATCCTTATGACACTTTTTCCCTCAAACAGATTTCTCTTAATGAACAGGATAGTTTCAATACTTCCTTGTCTCGTTTACCTTGTTTCATCCTACCTGTCTCTTCTTCAGTTTCTCCTGGTCCTCATGCAGTAACAAAGCCTACAGACAAGACTGTTCTTAATGATTCAACAGTTGCTAGTCATATCACTTCTTCTAATACAGTCACAAATTCAAACTTACACCCTCCAAACCAACATATCAGCTCACCTACATTACCACTAACACCTGCACTCATGACTGTTACCTCACAATCTATAGAACCACTACATACAACATCTTGTAGCAGCCTTTTAGACTCCTTCCTGTTACCATCAGTTTCTTCATTACCTGTAATTAGATCAGATTGTGTTCCTCCCACCTGCCATCTTGAAGTTGATTTATCATTAGCACAAGTTACTATTGATCTCATGCCATCACAAAATGTTTCCAATTTGCACCCTATGATTACAAGATCCAAGTCTGGTGCTACGGTTCTAAAATCAGTTAAAGCTCTTGAAAGTTCAGCCTTGACAGCAGCTGTGCAGAATAAATCTGATTCATATGGTTTAGCTGGTTTAGTTTCAAATGAAGATGACATTTTGCTGCATTCAGCTTATCTTACCATTGGCCAGGATGTCATTGAACCTGAACCTAAATCTGCAGTTGAAGCACTTGCAAGTCCAGCTTGGAAAGCAGCCATGCAAGTTGAGTTCGATGCTTTTGTCCAGAATAACACTTGGTCTCTTGTTCCCCCTTCTTCTGATATGAATATTGTGGGGAACAAATGGGTTTTCCGGACTAAATTCAATGCAAATGGCAGTTTGCAAAAGTACAAAGCCATGCTAGTGGCAAAGGGGTTTCAACAAACACCAGGATTGGATTACTTTGAAACATTCAGTCCAATTGTCAAGCTATCCACCATTAGTATCATTCTCACGTTGGCAGTTTCTAATGCTTGGGACATTCAGCAGATTGATGTGAATAATGCCTTTCTTAATGGCACACTAAATGAGACAGTTTACATGCGCCAGCCACCTGGTTTTGAATCATCTGACTATCCCTCTTTTGTTTGCAAACTGAATAAAGCTCTGTATGGGTTGAAGCAAGCTCCCAGGGCCTGGTTTGACAAGTTAAAAATTGCACTACAGATTGAGGGTTTTCAGAACTCCATCTCAGATTCTAGCTTGTTATTTTCAAGGAAAATTCTACTGTCACTTATGTTTTGGTATACGTTGATGATATTCTCATTACCGGGTCCAATTCTACTTATATTAGTCAATTGATGACAAATTTGAATGATGAATTTGCATTGAAAACTTTGGGGTCTTTGTAGTATTTCTTGGGTTTGGAAGCAACCAGAACTTTAATTGGTATTCATCTTAAATAGACTAAGTATGCAACTGATTTACTTGTGAAGACTAATATGCTTGAAGCTCATGCTTGCTCCACTCTAATGGCTGTTGGTACCAAGTTATCTTCACTAGACAGCCCACTTTTTGAACATCCCAGTTTATACAGAAGCACTATTGGTGCTCTGCAGTATTTAACCCTTACTCGTCCTGACATTAGCTTCCCGGTTAACAAACTCAGTCAACACTTGCAAGCCCTAACAAATCTGCAGTGGCCAGCCTGCAAGAGGATCCTTAGATACATCAAAGGTACTCTTCAGTTTGGGTTACATTTTAAGCCAGCAGTATCATTAAATATTGAGTGTTATGCTGATGCCGATTGGGGAAGTAGTCCTAATGATCGACGGTCTACAAGTGGGTGTTATGTTTTCTTAGGTCCAAATCTTATTCAATGGAGTTCTCGCAAGCAAAAAGTTGTAGCATTGTCCTCAACTGAGGCTAAATATAGAGCACTTGCTCAAACAGCCACTGAGGTGGCCTGGTTAGAGAATATGTTCTCTGAATTGGGCCTAAATTTTCCTACAACTCCTGTGGTATGGTGTGATAATGTGAGTGCTAGAGCGCTTGCTTCTAATCCAGTTTTCCATGCACGGACCAAACATATTGAACTGGATGCACACTACATTCGTGAACAAGTTTTAGCTAAGAAGCTGGTGGTTCAATATGTGCCATCAAAACTTCAAATTGCTGATCTCTTGACAGCTGCTCAATTTAGTGAGCTCAGACAAAAAATGATAGTTCTTGATGTTGCCAGTTTGAGTTCTGGTTACTGATTATGCAGTATTTTGATGGTGTAGGTTTGAGTTCTGGTTACTGACTTTGTAGTAACTTTCTGAAGTTTTTTTTTTAATGATAATGAGTGTTGCTGAAGTGAAGGTTGATGAAGTTTTTTTTTTTTTTTTTTTGTTGGTGAAGTTCTGATGGTTGAATATTGGTGGAGTTACTTATAACTCACTTTAGCAGTAAAAAATTAGAGTGTGCTGCTGTGTTGAGAGTTTGGCAACGTAGGATCAGAATATGTTAAGAAGGTGTTGTTTTTTTTGGTAAAACAAGCTATATCAAGTGTTGAGCTGCTGTGTTGTGTATCTGCTGTGTATCAAGAGTTAGCAATTCTGATTAGAGTTGTGGATTTTTAATCAAAATTGAGCTATGAGTTGTGTATCTGCCACGAGCTTCTGTATTTGCATGAGACGAACTGCTTGTAGCAACCAGTTCCCCATGAGCTGCTACATTTGCATGAGACGAGCTGCTTGAAGCAACTAGTTCGTCACGAGCTGATGATGCATGAGACGAGCTGCTTGTAGCAACCAGTTCACCACGAGCTGTTACATTTGCATGAGACGAGCTACTTGTAGCAACCAGTTTGTCACGAGCTATTGCATTTGCATGAGACGAGCTGCTTGTAGCAACCAGTTCGTCACGAGCTGCTGCATTTGCATGAGACGAGCTAATGTTAGACAGTTCGTCACGAGCTGCTGCATTTGCATGAGACGAGCTGATGTTGGACTGCTCTAATAATTAAAAAAAAAAAAAAAAACTAATCGTCTCCCTCTGCTGGATTGTGAATTAAAGTTGACAGCGAAAAGTCAGAACTGAACCTGGGAATGAAGATCCTAAACCAGGTTTGGTTTGAGGGGAGATGTTGATATAAGAGGATGAAAGTGCAAAGTTGTTAAGTGATTGGATGCTTTTGATAATAGGCCAAAGTGGTGTTGTTTTAAGTAGAACTTTAAGTAGAACTTTCAGCTCACTTTCACTTTACTCTTTTCTCTATATCAGTATAAAAAGAACAGTGTTCTTCCTCATTTGTATCGAAACTTAGTCAATTGAATACAAGATAGCTTTGTTCTCTCAAATTCATTTTAGCTTCATTTCAGCTCTTCTGTATATTTCACAATAACATCTACCAAAACAATCAACCAAAAAGAACATTATTCCTGAAACCAGCATTCACTAAGCAAAAGAAGAAAATCGCAAAATAAATAACTATTTTGCAGCAACTATTTGTTTATTCTATTGTATTAAAACAAAACCATAGTCCATATACAAAAAGCAAGCACATGAAACCAACATTCACTAGCAAAATAAAAATCGCGACATTCATACCGTGAGTTGGTGAGACAAGTGACGAAATCACAGAGAGAGCCAAAATCCATGAAGTCTGGAGACATCAGCGAGAATGATCGGAGCGAAGGGTGGTGACATTGAGTGCCGTCGGCATTAGCAGAGAGTTCAATTCGACTTGATTTAGGTTTAGGGTTTTTTCACAATCTAATTTTGCAATTCCACTTTTATTTGATTTGGGAAAATGGGTCATGGGTGTCTTTGTCATTTTCAAAACCTTTTTATAACTTCATATACATGTACTCCCTAATACTTATAAACTATATCATTTTGACCCTTTCGAGCTTGCTGAAGCTCGTGAGCTCGATGACCGAGCTTGGGCTAAGCAAACTTGGCATGACTCCCTTATTCGAGCGGCTCGAGCTCGAGCTTAGTGGCTCGCTCGTTTGATACCCCACCCAAACCCACTGCTGATCAATGAATATACTCGCTACCAGCGAATTCGTTGGCAACAACAACTAACCACCGCCGAAAATAGTTGGTTAGCAACTTTGCCAGCATGCTTTAACTTTTGAATAATACTACCCCAACAACTCTCTCTCTCTCACAAACTTTCTCCACAACCCTGCTTGGCAGCTTATAATTGGTCAGTTCATAATGGGTTCTAATAATTAATTGCGAGTTGACCAATTGCGAGTTCCACGTCAGGGTTGTGAAGAAAGTTGTTGGTGTAGTATTATTTTTAACTTTTTTCTTTTTATTTTTTTACTATTATTTATTCATATGATTGTACCATTTTTTTTTTCGTTTTCTTCCCTTGGGACAATTCATGTAGCAAATTAAATTATGTAAGAACATAGTATAATTTAGTTTTTATTCACCAAAGGTGGAGCCAAGGCTGACCCCCTTGGGCTTTCGCTTTCTTGAAATTTGGAAAAAAAAAATTAAAATATTTTCAAAAATCTTAAAATCTTTATGGAATATATGATTATCAAAACAGACATATGTAATATGATGATATCGTTTTCTTCCATTTTCTTTCTCGTGATAGTTGATGTAGCAAATTAAATTATGTAACAAAATGGTATATTTAATATTTTATTGACCCAGGGTGAGCCAAAGGCTGACTGCCTCCTTTGGGCTTTCGCTCTCATGAAATCTTGGAAAAGAAAATATAAGTTATTTCAATACATAGTTAATTATAAACGTAAATTAAAGCCACATTGAAATTATAAACGTGTACTATGCTATTAATAAGGATAAATTGCTTTCAGTTAAAAGTCAAAGATTTGATCTAATAACTTTTAATGAATTATATTAGTTATTGCATTTTCATATAAAATAATAGTCTAAGGATTCTATAGTATAATTAAAAAAATGTTATTAAGAAAATTCCCCTTTTTGCATCCTAGAAGGAGGGCTTTTTTCTAGATTTTCTAGAGCAGGATATTAACCAACTCTTATTGTTAATAATCCCTAATTTTCATTGTAATAATATTATATAATAGTTCTCCCTATTATTCTCTAGAAAAATTCCTCCTATCCTGTACCTAGACAATAAACTATCTCTCATCCAATAATAGCTATAAACCCTTCTCCATTTATTAGCCGTTTGTCCTTCATGGTTAGATTTAGCAGATGGATATTCATATAATACCCCTAAAGTTGGTAAAACCTGATTTTCACATTCAAACTGTAATAATGTTATATTTTACCATAGATATAAAGATTAAATTATATATAACTAATTTAATATTTTATTAGCCAATGGTGGAGCCAAAGGCTGACTGACTTCCTGACCTTTCGTCTCATGAATTTGGAAAACAATATGTAAAATATTTTTCGGAAGTGTGAAATTTTTTGTATAGAATATACGACAGTTCAAAAAATTGTACTGTAAATGATGATATCATTTCCTTCGTTATTGTCTTTGCGGTTGGTATAGTAACTATAAAACTATTGCTGCATACATAACATAAAATGATGCTATCATTCTCTTTTTCTTTCTTTTGGATATATTCATTTATTGACCTTTTTAAAATTAATAAGCAAAAAACTTGAACCAATCATACACAAATCAGATTATACAATATAAATTTAGTAACCTCCTTGAAAATTCCACCAGTTTAAAGAAATTCTTCCGGACTAATTAATTAAACAAGGCTCTTATTTACTAACCAATTACAAATTTCCTTTATCATCATAGATATCCGTTAATGAGCTGAATGTTGACTTTCAATGGAACATTTCAGCACAGATATATTCCCAAACACATTAAATCCATTTATATATCACTCTTAGATTCTAATTATAAATAATAAAGTAAAGAGAAATGTAATGCAATGAAGTAGAATTCATTTAATTTGTGCGCTATGAGAGATGTACTAATTTTCTAGGGGGATAAGTGATTAAAAATCCTTTTATCTTAAGGAGCAATAGAAAGAAAGATTTTTTTTATTTTATTTTTTTAAATAGGGATTGATGAAATAAAAGAATCTTTTTTCAAATAAGGTTTGGAATATAAATTTCTATTACCCCTTAAGAAGTATGAATTCTTTGATATGGAATAATAAAATAGAAGAATTTTTTTCGAATAAATGTTGATGTATGATGGATAAAGAAATACATGAAATAAATTGATTATGTATTATTAAATTGTATTAGCAAACAAACGGGCTTATACCTCTTTAAACATGATCACACTAGTCCGGTTCAAAATCCTTTTAGTAGCCCATATTTTTAAAATATACTAATCTTAAAAAAAAAATAATAATAATAATTAAAAGCTCAATGTGAATTAAAACCTAATATATATGTCAAAACTCAGCCTACCCTAAGAATTTTTAAAAAAAATTTGACTTGGGTATAGCACGGGTTAGCTCCCACTTAGTTCTGGCCCTCCCCACTCTGGGATAGTATGGAATCATTTCTTCATTTTCATTTTGTGGGATTAATCGGTGATACTATCTTTGTTGAAGAGAGAAATTTGGGGAAAGTATTGTGTATTTCATCGGGTTATCAAATACAATTTGTACATTGCTGTTATACTTGCAAACTAACTCAGTAAGCTACTAACTGCAGTTAACTAACTCTAGTTAATAACTAACCAACTTGTAACTAACTCTCTTAACAATAACAGAAACTAACTTTACATTTTAAACAAACTAACTAAATTGTATAGTACTTAATAAATCAGCTACTGTTAACACCCCCCCTCAAGTTGGAGGGTGGTAAAGGTCAAGCACACCCAACTTGCTTAACAATCTGGAATGCAGTGGACTAACAAGAGCTTTAGTGAGCAAGTCTGTAGGCTAATCAGATGACGGAATATAGGTAGTGGTAATGACTCCCAGTTTAAGTTGTTCTCTCACAATGTGGCAATCAATGTCGATGTGTTTAGTCCTCTCATGGAAGATGGGATTTGATACAATGTGATTAGCAGTCTGGTTGTCACAGTGAAGAGGTATAGGAAGCAAATTAGTAATTCCAAGTTCCTGAAAAAGTTGAATTAACCAAAGCAGCTCACATACAGTGGAGGCATAGCTCTATACTCTGCCTCTGATGAAGATTTAGAGATAATGGCTTGCCTTTTAGATTTCCATGAAATTAAAGACTTGCCAAGAAAAATGCAGTACCCTGTAACTGACTTTCTTGTCATGAGACATGAGCCCCAATCAGAGTCACAAAAGGCAGATAAATTCATAAGATTGTCAGTTGGAAAAAATAGACCTAAACCAGGAGCAGACTTAAGATATTTCACCACTTTAAGTGCTATAGTCATATGTGAATGTTTGGGACTATGCATAAACTGACTTAAGAGATTGACAGAAAAACTTAAGTTTGGTCTAGTCATGCATAAGTACAACAACTTACCCACTAGCCTTTAATAAACACTCGGATTAGGAAGAGAGGGATCATAACCAATAGGGAAAAGGTCATCACAAACAACTGATGTAAGTTTCAAAGTAGAATCCATAGGAACTACAGAAGGCTTGGAGGCAGACAGACCTGATTCATATATAAGTTCCAAAGCATACTTTCTTTGACATAAGTGAATACCCTTGAATGACCTGGCTACCTCTAAACCCAAGAAATATTTTAGAACACGCAAATCCTTGAGTTTAAAATGAGAATGCAATAGTTATTTGGTGGAGTTGGTCATGTCAATATTGTCCCCTGTAAGAACAATGTCATCTACATAGACTAAAACTAGCACAATATGAGAATGCATCCTCTTAATGAACAAAGAATAATCAGCTTTAGATTGAGTAAATCCTCCAACAAGTAAGGCTTGAGTAAGCTTGTAATTCTAGGCTCTAGAGGCTTGTTTAAGTCCATATAGAGACTTGTGTAACTTGCATACTATAGGCTGCTCCCCAAGATGCCCCACCCCACCCCCACCCCCACCCCCACTTTGCAAAACCTTGAGGCAAAGTCATATAAATCTCTTCTTGTAAATCCCCTTGCAAAAATGCATTATCCATATCCATTTGGTAAAGTGGCCAATTATGCATGGAAGCGGGTGAAAAAATAGACCTAATGGTAACCATTTTAACAATAGGAGAAAATGTTTCTACATAATCTACACCTGCTGTTTAAGTGTACCCCTTTGCCACCAATCTTGCCTTATATCTTTTCAAGGAACCATTAGCATTATATTTGAGTTTATAGACCCACTTACAACTAATTGGAGTCTTACCTTGGGGTAAAGGGACTAAGGACCAGGTTTTATTTAATTCCAAGGCTTGTATCTCCTTTTGCATGGCAGCTACCCAATTAGGATCTTGAAAAGCGTTATTGAAAGAAGAGGGTTCTACTAGATTGAGATGGGATAAAAGGCTTGGTAGCTTGGTGAAATATGACTATAAGATACAAAATTAAAGATAGGATATGGGAGGCAATTGCTGAAGTTGAAGTGGAAGGAGAAATAGATGGACAAACAAAATCTGATGTCCAGATATGGGGCCTTTTAATTCGACTGGATTGCCTAAGAGGAATGATAGGTTGAGGTGGAGAGGAAGTAATAGATGGAGAGGGAGGTCCTGTAGATTCTGCATGTTAGACAACATGTAATAAATCGGTTGATAAAGGGACAGTAGGGGCTGTAGTTGTAGAAGGCAACTCAATATCCAAAAATTCAAGATCAAAGGGAAAAGGTGATTATGGAGATATAGGCCAAGTAAAAGGAAAAATGGTCTCATGAAAAAGAACATCTCTAGTGACAAAAACTTTATGAGAAGAAAGATCATAAAGAAAATATCCCTTTTGAGTCAAAGAATAACCCAAAAAGACACAAGGGGTAGATCTAGGTGACAATTTGTCCTTAGGGGTGAGAATGGTAGCATAAGCTAAACAACCAAAAACCTTGATGTGATCCAATGAAGGAGGGTGACCAAAAAAATCTTTCAAAAGGTGATATACCTTTGAGAACTGATGAAGGAAACCTATGTATAAGGTAAACTATTGTTTGCACACAATATCCCCACAAATGATTTGGTATATTGGACTGGAATTTCAAGGCTCTAGCTACTGCAATGATGTGTCTATGTTTCCTCTCAACAACTCCATTTTGTTGACGGGAATAAGCACATGAGCTTTGATGGACAATGCCTTTACTAATAAATAGATCATGACATTCTTTATTAAAAAATTCAAGGCCATTGTCACTTCTAATGCATTTCAGAGTACAATGGTATTGAGTTTCTATCATTGTAATAAAATGTTTAATGGTAATGAAAACTTCAGATTTGTATTGCATGAGAAATAACCAGGTTACTCTTGAAAAATCATCAACCAAAGTAAGGAAATACCTAGCATTTCCATGTGTTGAAATCTTATATGGACACCAAACGTCAATATGTAACAAATAAAAAATGCAAGTAGAAATTGAATTACTATGATGGAGAAGAACCCTAGTTTGCTTAGCTAATGGACAAATAGTGTAGTGAGGAGGATTAGAAACATCAAAATTTTTATGCATATGCTATAATATTATATAAGGAACATGTCCTAACCTTTGGTGCCACAATTTAGCACTATTAGAAACATTTGCAGCAAGAAAAGTATTTGGAAATTCAAAGTCTTTATTCAACTGAAAATGACATAGTACATTATTATTTGAACAAATACCTTTTGAAATATTACGAACAGCTTTATGTGAAGCATCTACTGACATTATTGATTTTTGTGAAATTGGATCAAGGAAATATAGGCCTTGCTTATGCTTACCAATCCCCTTCAATTTGCCACTGTAAAGGTCCTGGATTAGACAAAAATTAGGGTAAAAATTGATGGTACAATTATTAGAAACTGTAAATTTGGAGACGGAAAGCAAATTGTGTCTAAAAGTTGGTATGTGCAGAACTTTTGAGAGATGCATGCCATTGTCCAAAATTGCAGAACCTACATGTGCAATATGAGTCTTAGTGCCATTAGGTAACCCTACAATAGATTTTCAAGAAGGTTTTATGGCAATAGGAGACTGTAGAATACTAAGGTCATAGGTCATGTGATTAGTGGCCCCTGTATCTATGATGCAAACATTTTTATTTAAATTAATCAATGTAATATCATGTGTACTATTAAAGATACCTATAAGGTTTGCAACTGAATGATTTGTAGAGGGTACATTCTCATTTCCTAACAGCTCCAAAATCTGATTGTACTGCTCTGATGTGAAAACAGGTCCAGCTGGAATATTAGGAGACTTTGCATCTGTCGTTTCTGCAACTGTATCCTGTGATTGCACCTGATTAGTAGAGTATTTGGATTTTGAGTTCCCTTTTCCTTTTGTAAACTGGTAATCTATTGGATAACCATTCAGCTTGTAACAATTGTCACGTTTGTGACTAGGTAGGTGACAATAATCGCATTCAATATAAGGTTTCTTTCCCTTATATCTCTGCATTGAATTCTAATTTTTACCATTCTGAGCATAGAGTTGTGTAGTTACATCTGCATTAGCATTCAATCCTGCTAAAGTCTTTTGGCTCTCATCTTGATTCACTACGGAATATGCTTTTCTCACACTCGGCAAGGCATTCATCAACAAAATTTGGCTTCTGACCATAGAGTACGACTCATTCAAACCCATCAAAAATTTTAATAACTTTTATTGATTAATATGTTCAAGATATGTCCTTGCGGAAGCACTATCTAGAGTAGGAAGACTTACCAGAGAATCCAATTCGTCCCATAACGACTTAAGCTTGTTAAAATAAATTGCCACAGTGTTGGTTCCCTGTGTAAGATTCACGTTTTCTCTATGGATACCAAAAACCCTAGTGCCATTCACTTTGTGATATTGCTCTTTCAGATCCTGCTAGACTTGTGAAGCATTGGTTGAATACACAATCCCGTTGAATATTTCTTTGGAAACTGAATTAAAGATCCAAGCAAGAACTAAGGAGTTGCACCTTTCCCATTATGGAGCTAAACGATCATGTACTGAAGATTTTGTGCAAGTTCCATTAACAAAACCTAGCTTGTTTTTGGCACATAAGGAAACGGTCATAGCTCTGCTCCAAATACCGTAATTTTTCGTTCCTATGAGCTGTTTTGATACTAATACTGACCCTGGTGTATCAGATGGATGAACTTAGAGGGGCGCATTTGAGTCAATCGAAGGTAGAACTGATTCTTCTGCCATAGTTGATTGAGCTTAGCTTCCAAAGTCTACAGCTCAAATTGAAACAAATTAACGAGTCTTGAGCCTTTTCAAGCTGAACGAGAAGAATATGGAGGTTCAATCGAACCAATTTCTAGAAAATTTGCAAGAAATTTCCTGCTCTGATACCATGTTGAAGAGAGAAAATTGGGGAAACTACTGTGTATTTCATCGGGTTATCAAATACAATTTGTACACTGTTGTTATACTTGCAAACTAACTCAGTAAGCTACTAACTGCAATTAACTAACTCTAGATAATAACTAACCAAACTTGTAACTAACTCTCTTAACAATAACAGTAACTAACTTTACATTTTAAACAAACTAACTAAACTGTACAGTACTTAATAAATCAACTATTGTTAACAATCTTTTCTTGTGAAGTTGAAGATGACATAACTAAAGATCTTTCTTTGGGATTGATGATATTGATTTTTCTGGTTAGGATCTTTCTTTTGAGTGGCTTAAGGTTGAATAACTTGTTTTCCTCTTGACATTTGAATGTCTTGACTTGAGGATTCTACAATCCTATCCACTTAATTTATGCATATAAAAGCTAACCTATATTTTATAGCTTACAATAGATGAAAGAACGAATTTTTTTTTTTAAATATATATATTCAATGGTGAATTGGTGATAAATGATTGATTTGTTGTCGATCGTTAGGGAGAAAAATTGTGTTTTGATAGATGAACAACTTGGATTTTTATAATAAGGGTAAAATCGCCAATAGAATAAAAAGAGGATTATAGAGTGTAGGACTTTTTAAAATAGACTATTTTTCAATTCAATATAAAGATACTCAATAGATAGTTGTGCAAACCTAAATAAAAATTGTTTTTGGGATTTACATATTTCTATAATAACCAAATTATTATATCATTATCATTAGGTATTACTATTGTCCTCATCAAAATAGTCCCGCTAGTCATGTTTATGTTCCACCTATGCTTTTGGTTTTTTTTTTCTTCAAAATTTCTTTGGTCACGGATGGGATCTCATTAGAGAAGTGAATGCTGATTTTCACATGGAACATCAACGTCGTAGATATACTTCTAGAAACATTAAACTCATCTATATTTCTCTCTTAACGACATTTTCTGTAAATTAAATTGAGGAAGATATGGCTTAAGAAGAGTGCCCAATCTGGCATTTTATATACTAATATATAGTTCACCATAACAAATGTCAAACGACAATACCGTTTTCTTCATAAAATTTTCGTGGGATTTGCCACATTGATTTTTTTAGTTAAAATTGAGGAAAATATGTTCATATAAAGAGGTGCGATCCTACCTAATATAATACGAGAATAATGCTACATATTCAAATGATTTCTCATAAACTGCTGTGATAATCATGTATGTTTCACATATTATTTAATCTAATTAGTTTAAATAATCTCTAATTTAAAATCATCTAATCGCATTAAAACACATTAGCTTGTATAAGGAGTTACATGTAGCATTATTCATAATACAATGGACTATTATTGAACGGCACATGCGTTTTTATGGGATATCAACCTTATAAATGCACCAGCACTCAGTTCATTAACATACCAACAACCAAAAGTATCCAACACTAAGTACTCTTATTGATCTTTTACATGGAGCTCGTCTTCCCCTCTTTCCCAATCCTTCTAATCTTTCTTCTCTTTCTCTTCATGTTGTTGAAAATAATGAAAAGATCCCAAACCAACGACGGAACTTCAAATCTCCCCCCAGGGCCATGGAAATTACCCCTTATTGGAAACTTGCACCAGCTTGTTTCCGCTGAGTCTCTATCTCATTATCGACTAAGAGATTTAGCCAAAAAATATGGACCCCTTATGCACTTACAGCTCGGAGAAATCTCTGTCGTTGTCGTCTCTTCGCCTGAGTTTGCTGAACAGGTGATGAAAACTCATGATGCTAAATTTGCATCAAGGCCTCACAATGAAATCGTACGAATCGCCAGTTATAATTATAGTGATGTGGCCTTTTCACCCTGTGGAGACTATTGGAGAAAACTGAGGAATCTCTATAGGTTGGAACTTTTGAGCCCAAAACAAGTCCAATCTTTTCGATCTTTAAGAGAAGAAGAGATGTCTAGTCTCGTCAACTCAATTGCTTCGAAATCGGGATCGGTGATCAACCTCACAGACAATTTTTTCACATCAACCTATGGAATCACTGCAAGGGCAGCTTTTGGGGGAAAATGCAAAGATAATCAAGTGTTAATACCTGTTGCGACAGAAACTATAAGGTTGATGGCAGGTTTTTATATTGCGGATATGTTTCCTTCAATCAAATTTCTCCAATCGATCAGTGGAACCCGGTCTAAATTAGAGAGACTGCATAAAGAATTAGACAGAATACTTGAAAACATCATCAATGAACATAAGAAGTCAGACAAGATGGAAGAAAATAAAGATCTAGTTGATATTCTCTTGGAATTACAAGGGCGTGATGATCTTCAATTTTGTTTGACTACCGAGGGCATCAAAGCCACTATTTTTGTAAGTATTTTTAATTCTTACATGGAACTATAGTCCGGGTAAATATTTAAAACATTGGTATTATGTACAGCACTTTGTCTACATCCTTAGATAGAACTTTTTATAATTCCCTTTAAAACTGCAAGGTTTTAACTTTCTCAGCATTACTACAAAGTTTTCAAACTATGTGTACGGCTTCTTTGAAAGCATCTAACATGGATAATCAAGCATTTAAATAATGAGCATGTTTGATATAGAATTTGAATATGGTTTTTAGTTTTTGAAAATATAGAGTGCAAAAAATCTTAGAGAAATGTATTTGGTAGAAACGAGCCGAAATGTTTTTAAAAACAATTTGGCAATATAATCCTAAAAGTTAATGTAAAATTACAAAATAATTAAAACTCAGTTTTCATTGTACACTAGTTTTTAATTTAAAATCAACAAAATATCAAAAACGGACGACCCTAGTTTTTTTGTTAAAGTTTCTTTCAGGTGTAAATTTTTTTAGAAAATGAACTCAACTCACTAAACTTCTACAAGTTTCAACTTATTTATCTACAACAAATCCAGGGAAAATAAAATATTTGAAATCTGGCATTTATTTTCTTGGAAAATATATTTTACAAAATCACTCAAGATTTTCCTTAATTCACTGAACTTCTACAACTTTCAACTTAAATCACAAAACTACATCTTTTAACGTTAACGTTTCCATTCTTGGAAAAATCTTTTGCTATAACTGTGATTCCAAATTTTATTTTCTATTTTCCAGGACATTTTCGTGGGTGGCAGTGACACCGTTGCAACAACAATGGATTGGGCAATGTCTGAGTTGATAAAAAATCCTGGATTGATGAAAAGGGTGCAGGATGAGGTGAGGGAAGTCTTCAATAGAAAAGGAAAAGTCGATGAAACAGGCATTAATGAAATGAAATTCTTGAAGCTAGTAATAAAAGAGACTCTGAGATTACATCCTGCTGGTCCTTTTTTACTTCCCAGAGAATCCATAGAGAGATGTGAAATTAAATCATTCAACGTACCTGCCAAAACCAGAGTCCTTGTTAACGCATGGGCGATTGCGAGGGATCCAAAATATTGGTCTGAACCCGAAATCTTCAAACCAGAGAGGTTCCTTGATTTGGATATTGAATATACGGGAACTAATTTTAAGTTCATCCCATTTGGTGCTGGAAGGAGGATGTGCCCAGGAACTTCATATGCTCTCGCCAGCGTCGAGATTGCGCTTGCAATGTTGCTCTACCATTTTGATTGGAAACTTCCCAATGGAATGAAACATGAAGATTTAGACATGACCGAGGCCTTTGGTCTGACAGCTAGGAGAAAAGATGATTTGTGTTTGATTCCCATTCCTTATCATCCATAGCTTCAAATGAAAGCAATTAATGGCTGTTTTGTTTATGACGATATGTTCCACCATTTCGAAATAAGACTATCACTGTGGCATGTTTGTTTAATAAGTCTGAATATGATTTGATTTAGAGTCAATTTTCAGACAGTTTTTAGGTTTGGTTTTTTTTTACTGCATTGTGTGGTTATTTAAAATAAGATTTTCTGGATTGTAAAAGCTATGTATTTTCGTTTATGAATAAATAATATTATGCTACATATTTTAATTTCTTTTTTATGATTTGAAACTTCTATTTACTGTAAAATTTGAAAACAGTTGTACTCTAAATGATAATAATTATAATCAATTGTAATAAGAAATTTTTGATGAATCATTTTCCTAAATGCGCCCATATAAATAATTTACGCACTCGTTCATTGAATGTTTTTACTAGTCAATTATGACCAAACATAAGATTTCGGTAGACATGATTATGTTTTCATGTTAAAATTGGCAAAATATATATTTTTATGTTTCGTTTTGCTCCGAATCTTCAATATGCAATTCCTT